ACTCACCCCCTCCAACAGATCTCTTGCAATCTTGTCACTGACTTACCCCTTTCAAAGGGATGTGATTCCCTCTTGGTTGTGGTAGACCATGGGCTTACAAAGGGGGTAATCTTAGCACCAATGAAGAAAACCACCTCTGCTGCCAACATCACAGCCCTCTTTTCCAAGAAAGTCTACTCCCACTTCAGACTGTATGACAAAATTATCTCTGATTGAGGTCCACAGTTTGCCTCAGCATTCACAAAAGAACTTGCATCCCTTCTGGGAAACTCCCTTGCCCTCTCTACAGCATATCACCCACAAACTGATGGTGAAACAGAACATGTCAACTGTCATGACCATGCCTGGACTACTCTAGACTGGCTCTACCCTGGTCTTGACCAGTCTCATCCCACCCTTGCCCCAGTCCCAGCCTTACCCCTTCAACCTAGAAACATGTTAGCTCATGAGGCACTGCAAGGCAGTACCCAATCAAGTTGTCTGCTCAGTTGGTACCAGACTGGTGTAATACCTGGCCCAGCCACAGGTCCTGCCCCAGTTCCTGGTAAATCCTTTGTTCATAGTGTTGCTTGATAATATTCTTTGTAACATTACTTACCAATCAGTTTACCAACCATTGCTATACCAGCACAAACCAGTCTCCAGTGCTATGTTACACTTACTATACCCTTAGTATTTAAGTCATAGGATAATCTGTTTTTAGCTCAGTCTGAAATCAACTTAGTCTTGTCTTAACCCAGTCCCCTCTGTTCTCTGTCCTCTGCCTCTCAACCAGACTACAGCCCCTGCAAGGGAATAGCACTGCATCTTCAGTCACTAAGTCCAATAGTCCAACACTTCTTGTACCTTCATCTTTCCTCTGACCCCTGACTGGACTCTGGACCAGCATTTGACCAGTGACAAACCATACTTAACAGTATTTCAGACTCACACTTGTGTGGGTCACTACCCTCCCATCTAAACCTCAGCAATGCCTTCTTGGCATGCCTACTCAAACTCAAACCCAAGCGGCACAGGTATGTGCTACCACAAACCCAGATTCCACCTCAGCAGTCAACTTGCACCATGCTTCTGCCCTGGTGTCCTTAGGGACAGCCAGAAGGTCACCCAGTGAAGTCAGTAACTTCAGGGACTTCTCAGCCTGTAAATCCACCACTCCCACTTCCAATTGACCTCCCACACCCACTAATGATCCAGATGATGAACCAGACCCAGACAAACCAAATGACTTCAATCCCAGTGGTGATGACCCTGTTGATGATGGTCCTGGCAATGACAGGCCAGGAGATGACCTGGATAATGACAATGAAGAACTCCTTCCAGAAGATGATGTCGAGCCTGGAGTAACCATGCTTGACAACTTTGCTAAAGCTATAGAACTCCTCACATGTAATGCTTGTACTGGCTCTGAGTCATCCTCTAGGACCAAGTTTCATGAACTGGACACCTTCAATGGGACAGATCCAAAGAAGCTGCATGCTTTTCTCATTCAATGTGAACTCAACTTCCAGGACTTGCCCTGGGCCTTTCAAAGTGATCAAGCCAAGGTCACTTTCGCACAGTCATTCCTGAAAGGGATGGCTCTTGAGTGGTTTGAACTGGACCTACTTGGAACTGAAGACCTGGAGGACCAGCCCTACTGGATGGATTCTTGGAAGGAATTTGTCATAGAACTCCAGACCACCTTTGGACTGTGTGACCTGGTGGCCAATGCTGAAAGCCAGCTAGACCACCTTCAGATGAAAGACAATCACCAGGTCAACAAGTACATGGTCAAGTTCAACTAGTTGGCCTCCCAAGTCTGGGGATATGGTGATGGCACCCTGCACCACTTCTTCTACACTGGTCTCCCTGATGAAATCAAAGATGAGGTCTGCTGGGTTGGCAAACCCAGAACCTTGCACAAGCTTCACCACCTAGCTCAGGAGATTGATGTGCACTACTGGGAGCACAAAGAGGAGATTCAGTGGTCCAGTAAGCACCAGGGGTCATCCTCTGGTAACAAGTCAACCCCCAACCCCAGTCACAACACCCAGTCTAAGCCCAGTCAAGAGAAGTCCAAGACTGGCAGTAACTCTGGAAATGGCAACTCCAGTAACCAGTCTTTGTCTAAATTTTCCCCAACCAGTCAGACTGGCTCAAACACACCCAAGCCAGACTCAAGCAAGTTGGGCAAAGATGCCAAGCTGACACCAGAGGAGTGCAAACACCATAGAGACAACAACCTCTGCATGTTCTGTGGGGGCACCAGACATTTCACAGATAAGTGTCCCAAGAAAGCTGGGAAAGCCAAAGCTCATGCTGCAGCCACCTCTGAGGCAACACTGGCCTCAACCTTGGGCTCTGCCCCCAAGGCAAAAAAATAGGTAGCAGCTCTCAGGACTCCACAGACTGTGAGCTGCATTGACTCTGGCTGTGCACTCATGGAGGCTTGTCTCAACATGTCTGCTCTTTCCAATCCAAATTCATTAACTCCCCATGTTTTTATTGTCAATCACAGTTTGCCCTGGTTTCACACTCTAGTGGACTCCAGTTCCACACATAGTTACAGATAAAGGATTTGCCAATCAACACTCATTTAACCCTTACTCTGTACCCCCTATCCAACTCTGGCTCTTTGATGGGTTGTCAAGTTTCATTATCACTCAAGCAGTAGATCTTTCAGTTCAGTTTGTGATTGGTGATGTCACCCTGGTAACCCTGTTTTTAGCCCCATTGGATTCTGAATGTAAGATAGTCCTTGGACATAACTGGCTCACCTGCTACAATCTGTTGATTGATTGGGTACTGAGCAGTCTAACTTTCCAGACATCTACAGGAGGAATGCCAACCCCATCAACACCCCCTGCCACACTGGTCTTAACCAGTCTTCCCAATCCCAGTCTACCTGACCAACCCACTGATGTGTCTGATTATGCCATAGCCAGTATTTTGACCATCACCAGTGGTGATGGTTGACCTCTTTTCCAGCCTCTCCTTTCACTTGGAGGCACCCCCTGGGCATACAAGCCCCTCTTTCCTGTACCTGCCTCCCTGGCCTCAGCATGGTGCTAGTCCTTCAGACTTGCTCCTGGCCCCTGGCTTTTGGTCTAGGACTGGTCTGCCAGTCCTCTGGCCCCTATCCTGGTCCCTGGTCTCATTTCCAGTCCTTTCCCTGTCCTCTGTCCACCCCAGGATCCTAACTGGGTTAACAAGTTGGTAACTCTGTACTCCAGAAGCCAAAACTGGCAGTCTTGGCTGAGACAAAACAATTAGAGTCTACCCCAGGATCCTAACTGGGTCAACAAGTTGGTACTCTTGTACACCAGAAGCCAAACTGGTGGTCTCAGTAGGGACAAATCAATTAGTGGATCACTTGGTCCCTTAGCAATCCTGGCTTGTCCTGCCAGTCCCTCAGCCTCAACCTGGCTTTGCAGCCCTGGACCAGACTTGCTAACTCTGGTCCTCCTACTTGTGTCCAGTTTTATCACCTCCAGACTCCCTTATGACCAGCCTTGCTGACTCTGGCCTTCTTTCTCTTTTCTGGTGTTTCATCTCCAGACTTCCTTGTGACCCCTGACTGGTCTTGCTCACTCCAGACTCATTTCTTTTGGCTGGTCTCCCATCTCCAGCCTCCCTCAGCCTCTGGTACCCCTTGGGTAGCTCTATGCTACTCCCCTGTCACTCATTTGGCCTTTGGGCCTCTCCCTCCTCCTGGAACTACCCCTGTCCTCTACCCCAGTGCTATGGTCTTGACCTAGCACCCTTTCCAGTCCTTGGTGGACCCAGCCTTGGTTCTCTCTTGGTCTCTGACCCCCTGTTTTAACCAGCCTTGTCAACCCATTAGGAACTGAAGTATATAGGTCATAGGGAGCCAACTAGCCCACTCAATAGGCACCTGTTGGTGGCTGAGTGCAGTGCAGTCACCTATCCCCACCTAATGCTAAAGTTTGCTAACCCCCCTGACATCAACCCCACCTTGGAGCATGAATTTGCTTGCAAGACACCCTGGGCTTCAGCCCATTTGACAAACCCCCAACTCTGCTGGTCTGTCTCCCAGCTCACCCACTCACCCCAGAACTTGTATGTTCATGAGGCCCCTTTGGGTACCAGCTAACCCCTCACCTTCCCCCTAACCATCACCACTGTCACCCCACCATTAACTCCAGAACTCTGGTCCTACCCATTCTCCCAACTCCAGTCTTACCAGTTGTCTTTGGTCTGCTGGCCTTCACTGGCCTTCTTGTTTCCTCTTGGGCTCTGGTTCCAGTCTTCATACCCTCACTTTTGACTCCAACACTCATTACTATCCCTGTACCAGTCCAGGTCTGCCCTGCTGGCCTTGTAAAAGCTTCCCAGAACCAGTCTTGACACCTGTTAAGCCAGTCTCTGCATTCTCAGTACTTGGATTCACAACTCCAGTGGTAGGGCTCCTACTACCCATCCAGTACTCCTCTCAGTGGTGTAGGGAGTTGTATACTCCCTGAGGCTGGAACACAAGTCAGTCACTAAATTCTGCAAGCCTCTGCAACAGACCCATTTTGGGATTTTTCCTGCTTGTGACCTCATGTTTTCTCCCAAGCCCTGTCACCTTCAGAGTTTCTCCCAACCTTCAGCATGTTTCCCAGTCATCAATAAAGCTGATCTGGAAATTCTGCATTTGCCCGGAGTCATCTGGAGTTCAGTAGCTGCACCACTGCCTAACCACATCATCACTCATTTGTGCCAGATGCCTCTAAAAAAACTCCAGTTATCCCTGTCACCCTAAATTCTGCAAGCTGGACTTTGTGCCAGTATGCTCTGCCCTCCTGTGCTTCCCCCTCCTGCCAGCTCCACCTCTCACTTGTATGCATACCCTAGTTCTGTTGGAAGATACCCCTTACCATTGACCCATTTTTACTCTCATCTACTACTTGCTGGACTATTTCACATGCATCTGTAATTCACTGACATCTGTCATCCTTTCCTTTATTTTCCAGGTTTTTTTTTGTTTTTCTGCCCCACCTTACTCTGACTCATACCTACTTCCCTTGTACTATATAATTCTGCCATAATGTCAGAAATAAACCACCCACCTTTAGAGTCACTATTTGTGTGTGTTCTGTGTGAAGTTTCAGAGTCTAAGTGCATATCTTGTATTGAGTCTAGTCACAGCACACAGTGATCCTCATGTCTCTTGTGTCTTCCAAACCTGCACACCTTATTCCATATCTCCCTCACCTCAAATACACTCTTCTTGCCACAATTTGGCTTCTTGGAATTTTGTATACCCATCTCATTATCCTTGCGGGTCCATGACCCCCTGGAATTAAATTCTTCGACCCTCACATGTATTCCCAACCCTTCTAGGGTAACCCTCGACTTCTCCTTCCACACAGCACCCCTTGGGACAATCCTAGGGGATTCTCCCTTCAGCCTTCCTCTACTCACATGCTTCCCAGAAGTCATGTCACACAGCAGTCCTGGCCCACACCTTGTACCACTGTAGACTTGGGAAAGTCTACCCTAAGAGGGGATAAGGGACCTCACTAGTGACCTGCTCTCCTCCAAACCCCTGTCCATTATCTCTCCAGTGCCCTCAGCACAACCCCACTCAGTCCCTGCACACTGGTCCCTGGTTCCTTGGCCTGGTTCTTGGCATGCTGAAACACTCCTGAACCACCTTCCCTGGGTTTCTCTAAGCCCTTGGCATTTGCAATGGTACTCTGGTCTCACTACCCCAGTGGTCCTTGTCCTTGGTGATTGTGTGTTCACCAGTCTTCCTGGTCTCAGCCTCCTGTTGTCAGCCATTTGGCTGGATAACCCCCTAGGCCTCACCTGGTCTCCAGACCCCCTGAACTGGTCTTCCAATGGCCTTTTTGGCCTTTGGGCTTCTCACCACTGGATAACCCACTTCCAACCAGCTCCAGACACCCTTAAACTGGACTCAGCACCCAGACTCACCTTTGGCTGACACTCCTAAGCTTTGTTGAACCAGTCTCATGACCTGCTGATCCCCAGTTCATGCCTAGCTATGTCAAGTCCTCCTGTCCTTGTCCAGACCAAACTCTAGCTGTCCTAGACAGTCCCTAGTCCCCTTGCTGACCTCCAGAAGCTTGTCCAGCCTGTTCCAAGGTGCTTGGCACCTGGCCTCAGGTTTGCATCTTGCTACCCCTGGTTACCCCAGTCTCAGTGTTAGCCCACTGGCCTACACTGTTTTGGCCTCTGGTTGTCAGCCCACCAGCTAGATGGCACCTCAGGTCACCTTTAACCACCCCAAACCTCTCCAACCACTTCAGATCAGCCTTCAGCCAGCTGCTCCAGCCCTGCCCAAGTCCATTCCAGTCTTCCTTTGGTATTTCTGGCCTTACCACCCTGTCCAGGTCTAGACTGGTCTCCCATAGCCTTCCTAGCCCTTCCAGCCCTCACTGGCCCCTGACTGGTCACCACCTGGCTTTTCTAAGCCCTCTTTGACCATTAGACCAGTCTCCAGCTGGCCCTTCCAGTCCTCTCTGAACCTCAGACCAGTTCCTGGCCTTCCTGGCCTTCTGTTCCCTTGACCAGTCTTTGCTCTTGCTGTTTTCTCTGGATCAATTGCTTCAACATGACTGGCTTCAGCCACTCCCAGTCTCAGTCTCCAGCTTTTGCCACCCCTGGCCTGAGCCACCCTTGGTCTCAGCCTTTGGCTTTGACCCCTGCCTCTAGCCTTGGTTTCCTGTTTCCTTGTTATATGTTTTCTCAGTTTTCTGTTATCTGTTTTCTCTTTCTGTAGATACACACTTTCAGACCCTGTGACCCCCTGGAGCAGACCTTGGACCCATCCTGGCCTTCTCAGCACTCCTTGTGACACCCTGTACCCCTGCAGCTCACTTCCAGCTCCTAGACTGGTTTTCCAGCCTTCCCTGCACCCACCCAGCCTTTGTGTCATTCTGGTGTCATTCAGCAGCTCATTGGTACACCCCTGGACCAACCTTTGGTTATCTCTGGACCTCTCTGGACCCTCTCAGCCTCCTTGTTGCCCTGAACCAGCTTTGAGGCACACCTCCAGTCCTAGTGACCACCCCTGGTACATTTGTTGGACATTATGGGTCCCCTGTACCTTTTTGGCCTCCAGTTTTCCCTGACCCAGCTCTGAAGCACACCCCTGAGCCTTGCTTGGTCACTCCTGGCCTTCTTGTTGCCTTGACCCAGCCCCAAGGTGTGACTCTGGCCCTCTGAAACACTGGCTTCAGCTTTCACTGTCTCTGGAAGCCCCTGTCCAGCCAGTCTAATCACTCCCAGACTTGGCTTTGCCTTGTCCTGGCCTGCTGAACCACCTGGCAGCATCCTAGACCAGTTTCTGGCCCTCCTTGTTGTCATTCTCCAGCCTTGGGTTCCCAGAACAGTCCTTGGTCTTGACCCTTGTGCCCAAATCCAGCTTACACCATCCTGGTCTAAACTACTGGACCTCCAGTCATCACTGCCTAGTTTCCTGGCCCTCAGACTCACCCTTGGCACTTTGTGTACACTTGGACTCACTGCTAGTCATGCAACTACATTGTGTAACCCTCTGGGCATATTTCCCTATGGAACCTCAAGGGTTCAGTTCCTAAGAGGGGGATACTATCATATCTGTGACTCTCAGACTCAATCCTGGTCCAGTCTGAACCCCTAGTCCCTATCTCTGGTCAAGCCCAGTCCTAGTCTGGCCTAGAAAACCCAACTCTGGCCCTAGATAACCCAACTCCAGCCCTAGATAACCCAACTCTGGCCTGAATAACTCAAGTCCAGTCTTTTACCCCTATCTCTGGTCCATTCCAGCCTCCTGGCCTTGCACTGCTCCACCCCAGTCCTCCCAGGTCCATGTCCAGGTCACCTGGACATAACTCCAGTCTGTTTTCCTTTGTTTGTACTAGATTTAGTCTGGTCCTTTTGTCTGACTCTGCTTACTGTACAAATCCTGTGTCCAACTTCAGTTATGCCAGTCACCCAGACTTTGGCTATTAGCCTCAGCACAGCCACTGTGGCTGTCCTCACCTTGCTAATCATCTCACTAATAGCTTATTAACAAGTCCAGCTTTATGTTCATTACCCTGGACCAGCCTTGGTGCCCATCTATACACCCTTGTCACCCCTTACAAGAAAGATTTTCTACCCCTGCATTGGTAGATGATCATACCCTCATCAGGAATGAGGGTAATGACTTATACAATAATGGTTTTGACTTTGACAACTCTGCCATCAGTAGCATGACCAGAGAACCTTGTGGAGAATAGTTGAAGTCAGGGACTTCAATGCTTAGAGAGAGGGTGATGTTGCATTTCACCCCTGTTTTTGCCTTCCACTTGCCTCATTTCTGTTCCAATGGACTTACTTCCTTTTTCAGCCATCTTCTCATTGATCTGACAGCCCTTTACTCCCACCACTAGCATTAGTACCTTGTAACATGCTTAGGACATGTGTCATTGTTATTCAACCAATGGCATAGTTAGCTCATTACATGCAGATGCCTCATGGTCTATTTCCTTGTAGTATTTAGAGCGTTGGCTCAAGTCCTGGAACCCCAGACTTGAGCTGCTCAATCATACACAGTGTTCCTCAGAACTTCACCCTCAGTGTCCCTAAACAGGACCACTCTTATCAGCATTGCCCAAATCCTCTGTTGGTTACAGAGGTTACCTCAGCAGTTTGCTAGGTAGAAACCATAGTCTGCAACTGAGCTCTTCTTATGCTTGGACTTCAGCCTCAGCATAACAGGTGGTGAGTACCTATGGAAGGAATTCATGATGTACCTAAAAGCAGACACTTACCATGCACAACACCCCACAGCATAATGGGATCACTGAATGACTGAACTGCACCCTACTGGAGAAAGTCCACACTATGTTGCACAAAAGCAGTTTACCCTCATTCCCTATGGGGTGAAGCAGTACATCATGCTGTCTGGTTGCAAAACCAGACTCCCACCAAAGCACTTGATGGTGGGACACCCCTTGAAGCTGTGACAGGGAAGAAGCCAGACCCAAGTCAAGCCCATGCATGGGGCTCAAGCATCTGGGTACATACCAAGTGTGGAACCTAGCTTGGAGAACATGTTGCAGAGGGCTGATGAGTTGGGATTGGTGATAACAGCCCCAATGGCTGTCGCATGTACTGGCCTGAAAAGAAGTCTGTAACCATCAAAAGAAATGTATACTGGAACCCCTCCTCAGCTGAGCTGTTACCTTGCAAGGGGGAGGAAGAAGACAACTACTTACCAAATGTGATGCTAACATCTCCATCTCCCACTGAAAAGATGAAAGAAGCACCAACACCTCCACATGCTGCCCCAGCTCATCTCCTGCTCCCACCACTTCCAGCCAATCCACCTGTTGTGAAACAAATTCAAAAGCCCAGCCAATGTCTTGCAGAGATTCTCACAGGAAAAGGAAGTACTGACCATTGTGGCACACCAGAAATACCTAAAGGATTTCAGCTACCTACTGTTGTCAAAGAACATTCCAACCCCATCAGGCTTGAAGTGGAGGACAAGGCTGCAGCCCTACTCATGTCTATCATTGAAGACTCAGATGATGGCCTATGTCATGTTGACCTTGCTATGGTTATGGATGAGATCACTCTGAGACAGAAGCTCTTGAGCCCAGCTTGCTAGCTGAAGCTTGTCACTGTCCTGATTGGCTGCAATGGGAAGATGGAATAAGAGAGGAGTTAGTGACATTAGGAGTTGCAGGAACTCGGGAACTTGACTTACCACCTGGTGCAAATGTCATAGGTTCAAAATTGGTGTTCCAGGCCAAGAAGGATGCCACAGGAAACTGTTATGCCTGTGTAGAGAATCTTTCATTTTTTGACTTTTTGCAGTCACATGCATCACATGACTTCTTGCAACCTTAGCCATTGTTGTCTACATGGGCATGTCTGTGCTCAAAGAACAACCTGGACTGTTGGAAGTCATTGTGTTTCCAATACCTTCCAATGCTGCACATCTGTAGGTGATCCAGTGTTCCACTCCCATCTTTGATGAATGATCAATTTCACATTTCATCTCTGACTTGTGTTTATTGTTCTGATTGTTTACTTCTTGTTCCAGTGTCAGGCTCCTCACTGTGCATTGATGGCATGGCCAGTATAGCCTTCATTTCCTTAGTAACCCTATCTTTGACACCATATGACTCTTTTAAATTTCATTGTTTACTGCTGCAGATACTTACCACCTAGATGGCATGACCAGTAGGGTACTTTTGTTCTGAGGTATTTATACAGCTGTACCATACCATGTATCCTCAGTTTTTTGATAGCTTGCAACTCAGCTAATTCCTTTAACTTCATCCTCATTTATTCCCTGTCACAATCTCAGAAGAACTCACCAGCAGAATAAACCTCTGTTGGATATTGTTAATAACTGAGCCATAGGGGTTATGACAAGTTTGGCCCATAGTCTCCCCTTCATGTCACTCATGACTAGTCCATTTGACAAAGTCACTTGGCTT